TTTCCCTCATATTCAGTGTTTATCTTTGGGTTCAGTTTCTTTCTGTTATACTATATTTATTATACCTTTCAGATGTTTTTTTTAGTGGAAACAGGGATTGTACTCGGGCCCTTTCACTTGCCAGGGAAGCGCTTATTCTAGTGAGTCATCTCCCCCGTCCATACCTTTCAGATTTTATTTCTTCTTTAGGTTTTTATATTAGGTAAGTAATATGGTACGTAAACATGTGGTTTGAGATTTTTTTAATTTTTAAAGTGAAAAAGGAGTAAAAAAATTCTTTTACAAGCAATACAGAATTTCACGAAACGAAATGATAGGAATTCAACACTCATTTTTATTTTCATATTGTTATCCTCATATTAGTTACTTAGATTACCAGTATCAAAACTGGTCAAAATCTTTAAAAGAAAGAAAAATTAATCATTAACTGTTCCTTTCAATAGACAAGTGGCAATAAGCAGGTCAGTGTTCCTCATACATTCCTTTCACATTGCATTGCCTCCTTTCCTATCTTACTCAATTTCTTCTTAGCCCAGGGTCTTGGCACTAATCTATGCTCCAAGACTCATAAATGAATAAACTGTGAAAGCTTCAGTCATACTTGTTATCTTCCTGCAGGGGGATAACTGGGTTGGATTATCCGCAGGACAATTCTGAGCTCACTGGTGAGAAGGGCCTTCCTCACAAATGTAATCGCTGTCCTCAGAAAGGGAGCTGATGAGGGACCACAATTCCTATCAACACGGAGAATATTGAGAACACTCACACTGAGCTCCAACTCCATAATCACTGAACAGCAGTGCTAACTGATTTATTGTGATCCTGCAAGAATGAATACTGTTGATTTGATCTTTGGATTGCTTTTTCCAGCTCAAACTGCAATTGGAGTGGTGGGGAATATGTTTCTTCTCATAGTCTATTCCCCCACATCCTGGACTGGCCAAGCACTGCAGCCCACGCACCTGATTCTCACCCACATGGCTGTGGCTAACTTCTTGGTGCTTCTCTTCAAGGGGATTCCCCACACAATGTTAATCTGGGGAATGACAACTTTGCTGGGAAACGTGGAATGCACACTTGTCTATTATGTTCACAGAGTGGCCCGGGGCCTTTCTCTCTGCACAACTTGCCTTCTTAGTAACGTTCAGGCCATCACCATCAGCTCCAGACATGGAAGGTGGATTAGACCAAAAGACCGAGCTTGGAGGAATATCAGTTTCTCCTGTGTTCTGTGTTGGATCTTCAACTTGCTGACAAATACCTTTATTCCTATAGATATTTGGGGCCTTCAACATACACACAATTCTACAAAACAATGGAAATATAGTCTATGCTCTTGTAAGAGTTCTGAAACATCTTCAAAGTATACATTTCTATTGACTTTCCCGGATGTTTTGTTCCTGGGACTCATGGCTCAGGCCAGTATCTACATGGTACTTTTCCTATATAGACATCAGCAGACAGTGAAGCATATCCACACGGGAAACAACTCCCACAGATTCTCTCCAGAGGCAAAAGCCACCCAAAGCATCATATGTCTAGCAAGTACCTTTATTTTGTTCTATTTAATCAATTCGATGGTTACAATTTACATTTCAGGTTTTTCAAAACATCTTATCTTGCTCCAGCATATGACTGCATTCCTGGCAGCCTGCTATCCCACCATCAGCCCACTGATAGTGATGCTTTGATAGCCTTTCATTGCAACTTCTTGCTCCAAAAGTAAACGAAATCAATAGTTTTGACAGTCCCATCCATAAATTCTATTCAGTTTCTCAAGAAAGCGTGTGATGTCGCCAAAATACTTATGGTAGAAAGGCTTGTATGAAATGGACCGAATCCTATACAGCAGTGAGGCAAACTTTTTAGCCTGGGGAACACCTGAATCTGGAGATTGATCACATGTGTAAGACTTGAGCAAGGCCAGTCCTGAAGGCAAGGCGTTCCTGAGATAATTGCATGAGCATCCTGTTCCAGCTCAGCAGATGCAAGGCAGCCATAGACTGTCATGAAATAAGTTGCTAGGCAAAGACGTGTTATGTGACATCAATCTGTTGGATATTGGAATTAATGTGCTGTAGTGGTTAAGCAGTTTCTTTCCTCCCATCCAGAGAGAGGGCTCCATCTGACTGCAGATTCTTGTATTCTGAATTATTTTAATTCCTACATCCTCCCACCATCCTTCTTGATGGAGATAGAGAGTTGTTCTGCATGTTGCATCTTAGAGCTTTCAAAGATACCAACCTACTGTGACATGCATGCCATAGGCTCATCACAGTTGCTGCAGAAGTTTTCAGCTGCACTGAAAAAAGAGACATGTAATCAAATAAATGCAATAGGGCTTGGGAAATGGTGGAGTGATCTAAGTGCCTGCCTAGCAAGCACAAGGGCCTGAATTCAATTCCTGGTACTGTGCTGGCCTTGAAACTGGGTGTGGTGGCACACACCTGTAATCCCAGGACTGGAAAACCTGAGACGGGAGGATCACTATGAGTCCAAGAACCTACACCAAATAAAGTAGAATAAAATAAATAAAATAAAATAATAGTATGTGCTCAAATTATCGTGAAGGTTGTTGCTAGAGCAACCTATGGAAACTCCCTTAATTGCTGCATGACTCTGGGTCTTTACTTATAAAATTAAAAATTATATCCTCTGATTTTATTGTACCAAAATATATGTGTTAAAGAAGCAGTTCCTCCAGGGCATCTGTCAAAACATTCTTTTATTAAATGGCATAAATACTGGCAAAATTATTAAAGTAAGCTTTTCTGTAACTCTAGCAATTTAAAATAAAAGTTTATAATAAAATTTTACTCTTCCACAAATACAGTGGACTGTTCATCCTTGAGCAAGCTAGATAGACTTGACCATTTAGCCTCATTCCCAGACCCCTACCACTAGCGTTGAAAAACAGCAACACAACCATAGAAGTCATGAAAACCATCCACCTTGTACCCATGAGAGGAGACAAATAACCTTGGGAATCTTCCCAACCCCATCCTAAGAAACATCATGAGACACTTAGTTGAAATTTCATGATAAAGTTTCATTTACAGTCCTACTCATTTTTTATGCATCTCATGGCTCCTGCTGAAGGGAAGGGCATATGCAAGGGAAACAGAAAAATTAATCAGTCTCCAATGTTTCTGTAGGCTACAACTACAGGACCACTTGGGGGGAAACGTGAGCCTGACCACTAAATTTTTAAGGGACACTTAAAAAATGAAGTAGTCACAGGGAGCTCTAAACTATCTGTGACTAGTGCTGCCAAGATCCACAAGGGTAAACATACCAAGATAGTCTGCAGAGCCAGAAAACATTGGAGATGGTACCAGTTATTTTCTTCCAGTTTGTCTTAAACTCTATGGTAGACTATAGTAGACTATGGAAGACTTGTAAACTACAAGATCATTCAAGTAATGCCTTAACATATAGAGGTTTTGGCAAAGGGTGAAAGACTTACCGGCTCAAGAAAAGTAAGGAAATCTCGGATGAAGCACAACTTCCCAGCAGGAATTTCAGTGACTGTACACAACAGACAATATAGACTTGATAGAATTGTGCAGGAATGTCACTAAGAAAACTGAAACCAGAGTAGCAATAATAAAACCTGTAGGGGTGATCTGATTTTCAAATTAGTAACATTATAATATCTAAGATATCTAGCTTCATTAGAAATTTGGAATATACAATGAGTCAGAGAAACGTGGTTCAAAAATAAGAGAAAAATGTCAAAAGAGCAAGAGGGTTAAAGCCTCAGCTTAAGTTTGCCTTGATGATTGCTTTACTCCAGCTCAAGTTTTGTAATTAGAATCACAGAAATTCTATTCAGCGTGAGGATTACTGCTTGCTTATGCCATTTGGAAAGCTGTAAGTGCCCATGGTGAAGTTCTTTAGATAACAGCATAAGGCTGGTTGCCATTACCCATTTCCTTTCTGCAACAGGAGGGCCATTTGCCAGAACTCCCCACTTGGGATCTGCTTGCACTTTTTTTTAAAGAAGGTTGCTTTCTATGCACTTTATAAAAGAGCACTGCCATTAGATAAAAGAGTTAAAGATTTTAGTGACCAGACTCTGGGACTACATTTCATTTACATTCCTAATGAGTGTGCACCGTAGCCTGAGAGGTGGGTTGGCAAGGATGCTGAGTGGAAGCAGAGAGCAATGGTCTTGTACTTCTGGGATAGATGCTCATAGAACTCTGGAAACAGGTTAAGTTGTCCCCTCCCCACTCCCAAAAGTTGCTTGTTAAATGTTGTAGGGATCCGTGACCCATGGACATAGAGATCCACATGTGACTCTGGTTGGAGTTGTGAGGCTCAAAGCAGCAGCTGAGATTTTTGGGTACACTGTGTGATAAACTCAGCATTGTGTAGGAAAATGTCCCAAATTTAAGAAAATGGACAGTAGAAGAGTCATCCCTTGTAGCAGTGAGAGAATTGCTCTAGATTTTGTCCCTTGCTTTGGAGAGAGATGTCAGAAAAGGCACTAACTGTAGTGGAATGCTCAGTGAAGGTGAGGGTAGGGGATTTAGTTATATGGGGTTTCTGCATTTTAAGTTTTAGAATCAGAAATGTCTGTAAGAGTCTGTTGTAAATGAGCTATGCCATAAACATAAGGCAAGTTTTTTATTTTCCAGCATATCATATTTTTGAATAATAAAACATTCACAAGCCATATAAATTACATTAATCTTACCTTATTGAGTACTATATATTTCACTGGATAGACATAAAATAGGCAATCATGGATTTTTTTTTCTTTTTTATCTTTTTCTTTGGCAGATCCAGAGATTGAATTCAGGTTCTTGTTCCTGCTAGGGAAGCGCTTATTCCACTGAGCCATCTCCCCCACCTCTTTTGTCTTAATCTTAAATTATGAATATCTATAACATTTAAGTCACAAATCACACTGCACTAAATAAAGAACATCTAAGAAAAAGATAACAGTAGCAGCAGTATTTGAAAGTCCAGGAATGAGAGCAAAGGTAAAGAGCCCATAGAGATGTAAAAAGGCATCACAGTTGGCCATATAAGATTACCTACCAGGAAGAGCTTGTTGAAAGCACAAGAATTGTTGAGAGTGAAAAGATGGGTATGGCAGAAACTTTTCCTTAAGCATATAATTGTTTTCAATAAGGCCTCACGTTCAATATGGCTCGATAAGGCCTTGAATTCACAATAGATACGGTCATTTTCTGCTTAGGTGTGTCCGATGATTGGCTTATCTCTCATGGAAGATTAGGCAGTTGTGCCAAGACACTCTTAAGTATGTACCACAGGTGGACAACAGTAGATAATGGGAGAGTTTTAGAATGAGAAGGCCTAGAATAACAAAGTAGAATCCATTGTGTTGATGAAGATTCACTGAACAACCAGGTGCACTAGATAATGCTTGAGGGTAAAAGTGACTCTTTGCCAGAGCAGTGCTACAGAACAGACAGCCCTGAATCCCTAAATGCAACTGATGGAGAAACCCAATAGTAAGAGAAAACCTTGGCTAGGGCTCATTCTAAGACCACCGGCAGATGTCACATTGCTTCCTCTAGTTGGGACATGTCTCAAAGATCACTTGTAAAGCAGGAAAGATTTGATGAGGAACTAAAAGAGATGGGAAATGTAGCAGAAAATGCTCCCCAGCCGGTATACTTCAACTGTTGTTAATTTCCAAGTTAACAGTACCTGTTACAGTTCCTGTTACTAAAACTGTCTCCTAGAAATGGCTGGACACGGTGGTGCATAGATGGTCACTGTGGTGCATATAATAAGAACCAATCATTAACCATGAAATACCCTGGTGCTGTACTTCCTGATTTCTTATCCCTTATAAGACACAAACTATCAAGGATCATGGCCTGATATTTGGGGAATGATCCTTATAGTGCCCGTTGATAAATTTACCTCCATGTTCCAGATGATGATTTCGTGTTTCTGCTTGCCATTACAATTCTAGATATGCATAGGAACACATTCATCATAGACTATTTGTGTCTGTACATGATATAGCTTGTTTTTCCCCATTCCCCTATCCTCCCTTCAATATTTCCTTCCTTCCCCATTTTACAAAAGGTTTGTTTCTATTTTTCTTCTTTTCTCATTTTTTATACTTTTTTGTATTTTTAGGGTAGGGTCTACAGGATGTTCCGGGTCTCACTACTAGATCAGACTCATAATGCTTCTCCTGTTTACAACCTCCCAAGTGCTGGAATTACAGGCACGCGCCACCACACCCAGTCTTCTTTGCTCATTTTGAAAAACTTTTTTTCTCCTTTCTTTTACATCTCTCTGTTCCCTTGTCTCCCTCCATATTTGAACATTTCCCTCCTGCTTCACAATACCTGTTATACCTTTTGTCCCTGATTTAAATTTTTGGTTTCTCACATCAGAGAAAAATGAGGTATTTACATATGTGTGTCTAATTTATTTGAGATAGGTGTATGTACTCAAGGTGCATCCATTTTCCTAGAATTATCTTGAGTGTATCTTCTTTATGGCATAATACACTATGGTATAACAAAACTACATCTTCCTTATCCATTCACCAGCTGATGGCCATTTGGGCTCTATCACAAACTGCCACAATAAACGTAGGTGTAAATATATCTCTGTGGCATGGTGCTTTTAATTCTTTTGGGATGATACCCAGGCTAGATCAAATGGACCAGTTAGTCTTAACTGAGAATTCTCC